ACTTCATCTGAAATGAAGGGCACATACTTGGGTAAGGGGCACAGTGTATGAGCTGAGGCCAAGCCCCTCTGAGTCAGTCTCTCTCTCCATTGAGCATGGTTCTTAACAGTGTGTGCCACCATATAAATGGCCACCAGGAGGGAGCTTGATGGTGGATCAAAAGACATTCAACTGTAACCTGTCAATAGTGAGTTCAAATGGCAATATATACATATGTTTGGTCCTTACTGTCATATCCACATATCCAGATCTCAGATCCGATCCTTATCTCATCTCAGATCTGATCCACATCTTATCTCCAATCCTATCCACATCTTATCCCCCTCCAACATCTTGTCATCCAATCTGTCCACTTGTCCAGTCTGGTCCACAATTCATCTAAATCCACAACCAGTGCTTGTCTCTTTTCAGTAATCCCCTAACTCCAGTATGTTGGTTATCTGTATATCCATCCTGCTCCCTGATCTGTTACCTATGCTTCATTTCTGTTTCATTATTTGTGATCCATTTCTACTTACCAATAGACTATCCATATGCTTCATACATAGCCTTGGACCCTGCTGATTGATCATTCCATTAGATACCTATAGTATATAACCTCCTGTAAATCTCGGTAACACTTCAGTTTGAATATCATCTTAGTTCTACTCATTCCTGTCCTCCAGACTTGAGTATCTCTACTCTCGTCACCCTCCAAGACTTAGGATTGATTCCTATAGTCTATCCGTATCTGCCTCTGTCTACGACAGTCCATTACCATTAGTTTCTAGTCTGGACTTGTCTGGATTAGCCCTACGATACTTATCCTGCATCCAGAAGTCATCCAGATCTGCTATACTACTCGTCCAACCTTCCGGATGCATTAGTCTTGCCCTTCTGAAATAAGGGGCAATACTTGGGTAAGGGGCACAGCGCATGAGCTAAGGCTGAAGCCCTTAGGATCCATTAGCCTTTGAGTATGACCTTAACACTTACCCAATGTCTAGGTTCATGTCTGTTCAGAGCATTTTTTTGGCTCTATCAAGGGCTGGTTCCAATCACTGCAGGAGCTTCGCATCCTGATCCAAAGCCAGAAGGACCTCAACTACACAAATATGTGGATCCATCTGTGCTTTGTCCTGCACAATTTAATTGTTGAAATCAAGGAGAAATCAAACCATGAAGATATGAACATCTGTTTCTATCAACAAACTCAGAGGCCAAGGTGAGCTGATGGTGACACAGAAGAGGATGATTAGTGAGGCAGGATTTTCGCAATGCGTTAAAGGCGTGGTTGCTTGCCTTGTTGGAGTGAAGGAATTAAAAGGTACATATGATTGGGCTTGATCTTGGGCTTCTTTACTACTCTCTCTTTGTCAAGTAGAAGTTCTTTGTCCTCTTTAGTACCTAACAAGGGAAATTTGAGCTTGAGCTCAGTGAACTCAAAGTGCTTATCCCAAACCTGTAGTATTTGTTGTGTGTAGTTGCACTTGAGATTTTCTCAAGAAAGGACCAAGTTAGTACCATTGAGTACAAAACTATATGCATTTCCTAAAAATCAATTCTGTGATGACACAGTATAGACTTACTTCAGTTTTGATTGAGATCACACTCCATGGTGATATGATGAATCTGAACCTCCTTCTCTTCTTGACATGCACACAATAGCTCAAGCTCAATTCTTGCAAACTCAATTTGTCGAGTCATCCTCTCCTGCTTGTTGAGATGGTCTTGTTCAGCAAGATGCATCACATGCTCCTGCTCATCACAAGCACTGTGGACCTTGAGATCATGAGCCCAAATGTTGCCCTGAAGTTTCATGCGTTGTCTTAATAACCGAGGGTCTTATATAAATGTGTGTAAAATGTAATGACACCACAACTACACTAAGATAAGACTTCTTGCCAGTCCTCGATTAACATGGTCTATGACTTTTCTTCTTTCATGGTAGATAATGTGTGAGTTCTTGGGAGGCTCACTAAACCAATCTATGTGATTAACTTAGCCAAAGCTTTTGTGTTTTATCCCAACTTATAAACTTGTCTAGGATAAACTGTCTAGACACTGGAACATGGTTCCTCATTAAGATAATTCTCTGTAGAGACTACAGTCTCAAATATGAATATGTTGACCAAAGACTGGTTGGTCAAATAGGCACAAAGTAGTGAGAAACTGGTCTCACAAATGATCAGATTGACCAAAGCTTGTGTTAGTCAATATCAGAAAACTAGGTGAGAAGCTGGTCTCAAATAAACTAAGTTTCTATTGTAAGAAACTTATGTAATCTCAAGGGAATGTCTTTTCCCTGCACTCAGTACTTCAAAGGGGCTTTCTTTGTAAGCAACAATCTTCACAGTGAGTAGCTCAAACTGAGATTCAAATGATTGCAAGTGGGAGATCCTATTTTTTGAGAGAGAATGGGCCCTCTTTATATACATTTTGTGTGGGAATATTATGTAAGTAAAAAAGCGGAGCAATGACATTAGAAGTGGAGCAGAACATTCTAGCAAGTGGAGCAGAACATTCCAGAACAAATGACATCATCATGACATCATAACTTTCAACAGAATACTTGCAGGAGTATCTGTGGAGCCATATGACATCATTATGACATCATACCCTGTAGGTACAATTTTGTGAAGTATCTGATGGGTCAGAGCATCCCAATAGAAAAATAAATCAAGGAAATACTAGAGAAAACAACTCAGAAATAATAATACAATAACAAGACACAAAACACAGGCTTTTTAGATAGGTTTTTGTTAGGCTTTTAACTTTTCTCTATGGTTTTCTCTAGCCAAAGTGAATAAGCCAAAGGCAAGGCAATACCTTAACCTTCTTGCTTCACAATATCAACTAGGTCATTATGTGATTCTCATCTCACAAATGACTTTTCTTCAAGATATAACAAATTCATGAATCACAGAGGGGAAACTAAACTATTTGACCAAGGTTTGACACCAAGGTATGGGTTGACTAGCCTGATGCCTAAGCTAACAGACTTTGTCTTTTAGGGGGCTTCCTAGTAGTCATGTCCATACATGATTCCAAAATCATGCAGGACAGCATTTGTAGCTTTTGTGCTCAGTACAACCCTCATGTTTGTCATCAAGGTGCTTCATTAGAGACTTTGCCATTTGAGACATTTTTTCTGCAGCAGCAGAGGTCTGGTTGAGAGCACTGCTGCCAGGGCATTTGTATGATGCAGAGGGGGGATGACTAAGCTGAGGTGACATGTTTCAAGTAGATGAATGAGATTGTTTTGCAGCAAGAGAGGGTGAACTTTCATGACTTCCTTTCAATGAGCTAACATGGAGAGACTGCAGTGCTTGGCTGGCCCCAATATCTGAATCTTCTGAGTTGATAGGTGTAGACTGATGGCTAGGTGAAGAGTGCTTGAAATCAGAAAAAAAGGATAGTGAATTATTGGGAGCATGAGCATGTTGATTAGGTACTGGTAAGTGCTCAGGAGAGTTCAATGATACAACTCCAAGTGCATCAGAGGTTGTAATGGGAGGGAGCTGGGGTCATTGGTACCAGTATGGCAATGGGAGTGATGATGCTGAGGATTGTGGTTTGAGTGATTCTATGTGGGGGGGCTGGTTGACCACCATGTCATCAGTCACATCTACAACAGCCTTATCATCCGTACTAATCTTGACTATTTTGCCTTCTTCAGGATTATCATCTGTGTGAGCATTGTTGTCACCTGTAGCTGGCAGTTTTGAGCACTTGGAAACATTAAAATGTTCCAATATGGCAGATGCAAAATCTCGCTCTGCATCTGCAGTAGAGAAGGCATGATTGAAGGCTGGATTTGTCTGCCACCAGTGATGAAGCTCATGCTACCAAGGAAATTTTTTGAACTTTGTATCTGACCAGTGATGGAGACATGATTAAGACATACACAGATTAACAGTGGCTGAAACTTACCAATCAATGACTTCATCTTAGGATCCTTTTGCAGCTCAGCATATGTCTTTTCTGCTCCTAACTGCTTAAGGTCTTTGTTGAATTCATTATATTTTTTCCCAAGTCTGAAACACCTGATCAGTGATTCTAGTCAGGAAGATGAATGGCACAGGACCTAGATACTTACATCCTGAAACAGTGTGACAGTTAAGTTTTCCTTGGGCTTAGATTTACTTACTTTACTTACCTTTACCTACCCCCACTTTCATTAGCTTATGTTTGCATTTTTGCTGCTTACTTAAGCATGTATCTCTTTCACCAGTGTCAGTACCAGTCTGAATGACAGTCCTTCTTGATGATAATTTCTACTCTCTGAGCACTGAGCCAAGTCAGAATCCCATGGGCTAAACATACTGCTCTCCACTCAGCAGCTTGGCCAGCTGTTTTGTGATTCCCACAACAGGTTGAAACTGGTTTGATAAATGCCTTAGGCTCCTCCTTGAAGAGTTGTTGAACATCTAGATCCTTGTCATTCGAAAATACAGCTTGTGCAACCTGCACATAGATGATATCTCTTGAAAAATCACTCTGCTTCTTCTTCTAACCTTGCTCCTTGGCATCCTTTGCAGAATCAGAGAAAAGCTTGATACATGCATCTTCATTTTCTTTGCACCAGGCAAGTAAGTGTCCAGTACAAGCACTGCGGACCCCCTCCCAGTGGATAGTGCACTTCTTTATGATATCCATACTAGCAGATGCACTGGCTCGACATTTTTGATTGGATTGTGACATGATCCAGGGTATTCTAACTGACAGCGATTAAGGATTGGATTGAAGCTTTTGCAGCATCGACACCAGCAACAATGACATTGAGCACACTGGCACAGCAGGTCAGAGCTCAAAACCTGCTGTACTGACAGCATCTGAATTCACATATTTTCACTGAGAATTTCTTTCAAGGTTTGACTTTGAGAACCATTATTGTATGCAACAAGGGAATATAATGGAAGGTAAAATGCCTTGGGCTAAGGGCAGTAGGAAGCCAAAGAAAGATCTTGTTGCAGCCATTTCAGACGAGAAGAACACTCCTAGTATGACCAGACAAGCATTATTGGAAAATTCATGTATGTCTAGGTGGCTTCATCCTAAGACTAAACAAGCCAAAAATTCTCAGCTCCTTCCTCATTGTTGGGTTGCACCATCTCACAGCTCTTCAGACAGAAGGACTGCAGATCTGCAACTTGTCTTGTGATACAGTATTTACATTGGATCTCTACCTCAGATTCACAACAGCTGATGGTCCCAGATTGGTGTATTGGGATGGTATAGTGGGCCATAGTGGGAAGAATAGATGTTGCTTGTATTGTGAAATAATGGGCAGGTGAAAGACTTGTGGAACACACTACTATCCCACTCTCCTGAAGCTGCATGATCAATGTGTTGCAGGAAGTGACCATGGTAATATCAATGTCTCTAACCTACCACCTTCAGGATCTGATGGTTATGCTAACAACTTGCATTAGCTTGTTGCATCACCAAACCAGTGTCAGTGGGAGATTTGCAGGATAAAGATGGGTCTTACAAAGGCTCCATTGATTCTCAGTCTTCATTCATCTTGTTGTCTTGGAGTCCCCCATTGCATAACAATGGATGTCATGCACCTCACAGGCAATTTTAGTGAGCTACTACTTAGTCTGTGGCATGCAACAATCAATTGTGGTTCAAGTGACAACATCAACATATGGGAATGGGCCATACTCAAAGATGGAGAGATTTGGGATACCCATGGCAAAGAAGTTGAGCAGACAGGGCCATATCTTCCACTGTCATTCAATTGCAAGCCTTGCAATATTGCTGAAAAGCTCAACACTGGTTATAAGACCTGGGAGTTTCATGTGTACACCTTCAGCCTTGGTTTCACCCTACTTTATGGTATCATACCTGAGTTATACTGGGCTAACTACTGCAAGCTTGTGCAGGGATTCCAGTTAATATGTTAACATTCTATAACTGTTAAAGATTTCACAGATACCCATGCTCTTCTTTGTGTATGGGAATGGGAGTTTGAGATGGTTTATTATCAGCTCAAGGAGAACCAACACCAATTCATTCAACCATGCATTCACCAGACAAGCCACCTTGTACCAGAAACCATATGCAAAGGCCCTCTGATATGCTATGCTCAATGGACCATGAAGCAAACAATCGGAAACCTTGGTCAAGAGATCTGGCAGCCCTCCAACCCTTACACTAATCTTTCAAAAGAAGGTGTTCAGCACTGCCAAGTCAATACTCTCCTGTCTATCATGCCTGAGCTTGATAAACCTCCTAAAGGTCTTCCAATGGGAGTCATTGACTTGGGAGATGAGTATGCATTGCTTTGCAAATGTGATAGATACACTATATTTCTAACTGGAGAATCTGCTTGAGCAATCTCTAACTTTCTTGGATATGAGTGTGATATACCTCATATTAAAAGATGGGCTCACCTCCTTCTACCTAATGACTAAGTGGCATACTCAGCATGGAGGGAGAATCTCAAAGAACTTGAGCAAATTTGTGTGTCTTGTAACATCAAGGTATGTTTGTTAAACTTATACTAAATACACTACTGACATGATAGTACTACAGCTAAAATACTGTGGGCAGGAATGACATGGTGAGATTCTATACTTCACTTGGTTGGCTATTGAAGCAGATGTGCTTGATGATGTAGATTGGCAGTCATCATAGTCATCCAGCTATACTCTTCCTGACAATGCCCTTATCCAACTCTCCTCATGTACAGTGGCCTCCTGCTCTTGCCTTAATGAACTCTGTGTTGTTCCTGTGAAGAAGATCATTAGTGTTATAGCAATGATTTCACATACACCCAAACTGCCTTCTGGTATTACCAAGGAGTGATTTTCTTTGCTAGAGAAGCCTGGATTACAGATCTCAAACCTTGGAATCAATCATGTTGATGAGGATGACAATGACAAGGATGGAGATGTAGAGTAGTAGAATGGATATTCACCTAGTTATGTTTTTCCAGTGGAGTTATAATTCTATATTACTGTATGTGCAAGTTCTGTAGCTCATGCCCCCATCATACTGCCAAGATGTTCTCTAGCAATACTGGAAGTTCTTCAAATCTTCACAGTGTGCAAATACAACAATAGCTAGACACTTGGTAAAGTGCCTAACCAAAAATATTGTTATAAGGTTGATGCTCTGCCTAGCTGTTATACTTGCAAGCAAGAGTGTTCAACCCTAAAGGGAATTGCTACTGAGAATAGCCAATGATACTAAAGACCTGAAAGTGCACAGAGCACAGGAATGCACAAGTGCAGTCAATGTCTGGTTGATATGTGGTGCAAGATGCAAAGGAGTGAAGGTACAGAATAGGGAAGTCTTAAGGAATGGGGCAGATGATGAGTGAGGGCAAGGGTATTGATTGCAAGGGTAAGGAAAATCAAGGTAAGGTGTCCAGGTATAAGGTAACCAATAGGGGCTTAAAAGCATGTACTAATGGTGACTGCTCCTAAGTAAAACCTAAGGGAAGGAAATGCAGTAGAAGGGAAGTAAATATGAAGTAGTCACTCTAGGCACTTTATACTAGCTAAACCCTCTTGGAAATGGAAGGGACAGGGCATACAGGCAGTAGGAATATGGAAAGACATGTAATAAGACTGTAACACTTGTTACAACACACGAGGCAAGGAAAGATATATACTAATGAGGTAGGATGGACAATGGACTGATGTGGGACATCTGTAAGGTAGTCTGAAGGCACAGGAAATCAACTGCAGGTATGCATGCAGTGTGGTTGTCATATCCACATATCTGGATCTCAGATCTGACCCTTATCCCATCTCAGATCCACATCTTATCTCCCTCCAACATCTCGTTATTCAATCTGTCCACTCATCCAGTCCAGTCCACAACTCATCTGAATCCACAACCAGCGCTCATCTCCTTTTGGTAACCCCCTAACTCTGGTATTTCGGTTATCTGTATATCCGTCCTGCTCCCTGATCCACTACCTATGTTTCATTTCCGTTTCATGATTTGTGATCCGTTTCTACTTACCAATAGACTATCCACATGCTTTGTACATAGCCTCAGACCCTGCTGATTGATCATTCTGTTAGATACCTATAGTATATAACCTCCTATAACTTTCTGTAGTACCTCAGTTTGAATATCATCTTAGTTCTACTCATTCCCATCCTCCAGACTTGAATACCTCCACTCTCATCACCCTCCGAGACTTAGGATTGATTCCTATAGTCTATCCATATCTGCCTCTGTCTCCGACAGTCTATTACTGTTAGTTTCTAGTCTGGACTCGTCTGGATTAGCCCTATGATACCTATCCCACATCCGGAAATCATCCGGATCCATTACAATACTTGTCTGACCTTCCAGACGCATTAGTCTTGCCTTCCTGAAATAAGGGGCAATACTCAGGTAAGGGGCACAGCGCACAAGCTGAGGCTGAAGCCCTTTGGATCCAGTTATTCCTTGAGTATGACCTTAACAGTGGTGTGAGTAACACAACTTGGCTAGATACTTGGTAAAGTACCTAGCTGCTATTCAACCCACAAGGGTTTCTGTACTAGACCCAGAGCTCAGAAAGGAGAGAAATCATCATAAACTGCTAGTCTCAGACTACAGGTAAAGAGTGAAAGGTAAGATGCAATGCTTATATAAGCTGCAAAAATGCAAACATAAGCTAAAGAAAGTGGGGGTAGGTAAAGGTAATGAAAGTAAGTAAATCTAAGCCCAAGGACAACTTGACTGTCACAGCAGGAGTGAATGTGTGAGTCCACAGAGCATGGGAATGCACATCAGAAGCGGGTTGAGTGTAGGAAAAGCAGTTGATGCAAAGCAGTTGTGTACTGATGCACCTGAAACACATTACCAGGTGAACTAATGGTGTGTGAGGCACAGGAAATGTGCAGGTTAAGGTGTGAGAACATGAATAGCAATGCATGGTGTGTGCAGGCATCACAGGAAAGTGGGGCCTAAGGAGCAGACAATAGTTTTGTAGCTGAAACTAATAAAGGCTGCATATAGGAGAGTGATGAATGATATGAGGGCTACCTTTCCATCACCTATATCAAAAGACAGCCATGCAAGCCTAGCAGGGATATGATCATCACAACAGCATGTCTTTGTTTGATTCAGATAAAACTCCTGGTTATTCTTCACAGAATCTGCATTTGGGGGAATATACCCCATCACCAGCACCCCTGTCTTCTGGTCATATGCCATTGCCTGACATTGAAGATTAATATATGACTGATCCAAGGGTCCCCCCACAACTGATTCTGACCCTGTTCTAACAGGTGCCTTTGTCTTGATAATTTCTTCACCAAGTCTGCAAACTAATAAGATAAATTATAGGGTGGATATATGCATGATAATTAGCAGCTCCAGGCCTTGCATGAACACTGCAAAGCTCTGGAGATGCAAATCCTCAAAGTTACAGCTACATGCAATACAATCACATACATATCAGTTTACAAGTTTGATTTAGACTCAGTCACATTTGATAGCACTGCTTTTCAAACACTTACCAATGCTGTCCATATTTCAGTCACTGACCCACTTCAATTTTCTCAAAAATCTACACCTGGTTCTGCACCAAAATATGATCCTCACTGCCCAAATGCTCAGATGCATCCCAAGGTTCACTTCTGGAACAAAGCTGACTACCTTGACTGGTTGGATTCTCTGGAGGTGACTTCAAGTAATCACAGAAAACTGCCATTTTTGGAGGACAAAATTGGGAACCTGATATCTGAAGCTGTAGTTGAAGCTATCTGTAAGTCACTGTGGGGGGCATGGTCTGAGCTTGACACCCATAATCTAGTGCCATCATCTTGGGGAAAACTCATGGCATCCAGAACTCAGTTGGTGAACACTATTATGGAAAGTGCACATCCTATCTTTAAGCTAGCTCACAATGGCTGGAAACTTGACTTCCTTGCAACATCATCTTATTCTTCATGGCAATGAAACCATCTGGATAGAGCCCCTTCAGTGACAAACTCCATATTATATGGGTCACCTGACCTACATAATATCCTGTATAAGATGAACCAGCAGACTATGGGCTGATGTTATGTATATCCTTGATGTTGATGGGTAGGCCCATCTATGCCAATGTCATCAATATCCTTGACAGTGGCAGATGGGCTGGGAGAAATATTATTACTGATGGAGATGGGTGGGCCCATCTGGGTAATATGTAGAGTAGGATAGACATATATTATAGATAGCTGGGCTGAAGAGAGATGTATAGCAGATATTATTATATAGACAGGTGGGCTGATGTATTAGTATTATTTTGTAGATGGGTGGGCCAATGGGGCAGTGAAATATTTATTATATATACGGGTAGGCCAACATGGGGGTATATTAGATAGACAGGTAGGCCAATAGGGTGGTGAAATATTTATTACAGTGACTTGCAAAACTGTTACAATGTTTGGTACTTTTTCAGTGTACACAATATAGCGCCTATGCATGTGGGAATCATGCTTAGTGTTGGTGGGGGTGTGTGAACTACAAACCCTTGACTACAGACTGACACTTAGATCACATGATTTGGCCAAGGGGATGTGAAGATATGCCTATTTTAAGACAGAGATACCATTATAACAGTTTGCAGCTGTTAATATAGATGGTAGGATCTCAGTCAAATCAGAGGATGGTTACTGTTATTTGCTTATATAAATAAAAATATACATAAAAATATTATGTCTGAGTTTGAAATTGCTCCCACACTTCTTTATTCCCAACCATTGCTACTATTTCCTTAGGGGAATGCTCATACTCTGCAAGTCTCCTTTTGACAAGGTCCCAGAGATATTCCAATGGGTTAAGGTCAGGAGATTGTGCAGACCACACCATAGTCCTAAATTCCTGCCCATCTAGTCACTTCTTGACCTTTTTGCAGGTATGCTTAGGGTCATTGTCTTGCTGAAAGATGACATCAGAAGCATTAAGATTGTAAAACTCCAGGAAATTTTGAAGTTTATACTTCAAAATTTGAAGGTAAAGATCTTCACCCATTCTACCATCAATCTTAGCAGCATAGCCAACTTCTTCACAGGTCATATAGCCCCATATCATCACAGAACTTCCATTAAACTTGATAGTTCCTTATACCAATCTGTCACTATGCCTCTCTCCTGACTTTTTCCAAGCCCATTTGCAACCATCTGACCCTAGGTGATTAATTTTGGTTTCATCAGACCATATGACCAACTTCCAGTCCTCCAAAGTCCAATTTTTGTGAGTATAGGCAAAGTCCAAGTGTGCTTTGCAATATTTGGCAGACAGTAGAGAGTGTTTGGACTTGACTACAGCCCTCATCCCAGCTTTTTCAGGTAGCAGCAAGTGGTACTTGGGTTGGGGGGCTGAGTGACAATATTTG